CTGATAGAGTATTATTTATTTTTAATTAAAATAAATTTTATCAATGATCTTTGTTAAATATAAATTCTTTTTTGAATATGTAAGTACTTTTTTGGTATATTTGTTTCATTTTATAGATGTAAGTATTTATTTTGTTCAAAAAATGTTTAGAAACTTAATCGTTCAAAATATGAAAATCCGTTGGCTTTTTTTCATATTTTTTCATTATTTTATCACATTAACCAGTTTTATAGGTCATAGGAATGTATAACAGGTTTTAGAAAGTTCAAGAAGTTATTTGAGAGGTTTTAAAATGTTCAATAACTTATTTGTTCCAAAAAATTGTTTAAGAACTTAATCATTTCGAACATTAAAATCCAATGGATTTTTTCAGACTTTTCCCAACGATATAATATAATCCGATTATGTGTTATTATATTAATAAAATAAATAAATTATTTATTTATTTAATCCACCTATTTTTTAGTAAATCGACTTAAAATGTGTGTTATATTCATATAAAAATAAGAATTTTTAATATATAATTTCCAGGAAAAATGTATTTTATAAATTTAATTTGATTATAATCTTGATAATACTTTTCAAATAAACACTTATACAATAAAGAAAAATTTAGTGCAATCAAAGTTTTCTTTCCACCACAACTTTGTTAACCACAAGAATGATGTATGATTGTTTGAATTTGAGCTCTAAAGATCAAATTATCTGGAGGTCTCAGGTCCAAATCCAAAGAAAAACAAAAATCCTTTTTGGTCACGGAGATTCAAATGCGGTGACTCCGGACTACCCGTAAAGCATGTGGTAGTCCTGAAACTAGTCGACTCGCATATCGGATTGGATATTCATGTTAAAAAAGAAAAAACTTTATAGCATAATATGATTTTACCTTTTTTTAATGTTATTTTGTCATTATTTTTATTATTTTTTGTAATTAATGTCTAATTATATTATTTTATCAGAGTTTAAGTTTAATCGCTAATATTATTTCTAAGTAATATTTACACATGTTAATCATATAGCTTAATGTTTTGACTTGTGCTTGTGGTGAATGGCTGCAAAGTTACGAATGATATCACGTGTTTAAAATAAGTAATTAAAAAACAATATTATTTTACGTACGGTTTATATGATTAAAAAAGACGATTTTTATGATAACATATTATTTTGAAGTTCAAATAACATGTATATTTATCAATTAACTTATAAAACAATTCAATAAAAACAATATTCGGTTTCATTATGTGAAATGTTTAAATCCAAAGTTGGTTATATTTTCAAGTACACATTCAAATAAATCCTAATAATGTGAACCGCGAATTGTATTAATTACCTTATCAATCATCGTTTTTAATTGTTTTGCAATAATAATTAAATATAATATATATTATGATAAAATAAAATCCTGATAATTATTTTATGTGTTTTGCATAAATGCATCTTAAGACCATCTCGAAAACTCATTGCATTACTTGGTGTAAACAATTGTTATAAATACTAATTATTAATTGACCTGTTATAATACGTTTCATTTCAAAAGAGAATATTCTCAGTATAGAATGTAATTATTATATAGATTTTCAATAATATCTAGAAGTTGTTTGACAGTTACTGAATGGTTTTAAACATATGATGATAAATTTTAAACTAGGATTTTAAAATATTACTGATAAATATTATATCAATACAGAGAGTTAAGGTATACAAGTGAACATATATAAAATATTAATAATTTATATACACCTTTTTAATGACATATCAATTTATATATAAATTAGTTAAATAATATCAATGAGAATATGAATATGAATATGAATATGAATATATATTGTTTATATTAAATTAGTTTTTTAAATTAAAGATAATAGGGGTAGTTCATGTTTGATATTAAAAAAATAATTATAATTTTGGTGGTTTCTAAAACACGATCTCTTTATTTATACACTTGTTTTAAATAGGTAATTAGTAGGTCTCATTTATTCGAGTTGGGACCACAACCAATCTTTTTCTATAATCGGTTACAGCCCAAACCCAAATGAACATATCTAATTCAGGAAGTGACGTTTATGTAACGTTTGTTTTTTAAGAGGTGTTTAAGTTCGAAATCTTATTTCACTTATTTTTGTAAATTAACTACTATCTGAATTTGTTTAAATTGTATATTTTACCAATTAGAAAATTATAATGTTGAATTTATAGATAATTTTATACAATTTTACATACTTATTCATCGTCATTACGAAATTTATATTTAAATTATATAATTAACATTCATTTAAGCGAAAATATGTCATTTTAACGATACTTGACACATTTAAATCATATTAAAATACACCAATTGAGAGATATAAGGATCAATTTGGTAATGATCAATCGAGGGAAATGATCGATTAAGATTAATTGATTGAGAAACATCATTGCTAAATGCTAAAGGTTTCGAGAACAGTAAAAGAAAAATAAGATGATATTTTAACTCTTACCAGATAAGAGGACAAATATATAAGTGCCTCTAAAAATTATAAAAAATAAATAGTCTACATGACTCTACCTCTTAACAAATCAGACATAAATGACTAATAAAAGATTTTTTTTTTCAAAAAACTAACAAATCCTCACATACAACATCGTCGGCGAAAAAAGTTTAACACCTTCCATTTTGAGCTGCGTTGTTATTCATTATTAGAAAGATATAATTGAAACATATTTATTGAATTATTATCCATCAACAAATATCAAAATATATTATTTTTCATGGTAATTAAGGTTTTTTTTAAACATTTTTATATATAACTAGAAGGATACTCGCGCAATACAACGATATACATCTTGATTTTAATATTTTATTTTATTTTTTATTTCAGCAGATGTTATAATATGGTCCTACGTGATTTTGAAAAAACAATGATGTTTTTATTTTTAAATATAATACAAAACTGAAGATATCATAAAAAATTGATAAAAATATATCGATATTAGTATCAAATTAACTATTTAAAATTCCAATTTTTTATATAATTTTTTAATTCAAAATTTTTATTATAATTTAATTTAGGTTCAATGACGAAGTAATTTATATTTGGTTTAATAATATAACTTTCTTATAAAGATAATAATTAATTATTTTGTTATTATAACTCGATAATTATCCTAATTATATTTTAGATTTTTTATATTTTAAAATGAGATGTTTATATGTTATCCTCTATTTATTATGTTTATCCGCAGTTAGTTACACGAATTCAAACATGGAGCTTTAATAAATTGTACTTACACATAATTTACTTATAATCTTGAATTTTAAGCAATATGCATTAATATACAGTACTTAATGCATAAAAAATGGTTTTTAAGAGTTTTTGTCAAATGCTTTATAATATAGTATAGATATTGTATGATATGTTATGTATTTTATTAACAAAATAATTTATTTAATTTTAAATTTTGTATATGGTTAAACATTGCATTGTGTTATAATTGACGATGGTTAAAACATCTATTTACAAGGCAATTTTAATAAACTTTTTTTTTAAGTATATAATATTTATATACAGCAAATGCACCAAATAAACTCACACCCTCATCCTCACTTATGGTGAGGTTTGAACCCTTGACCTCCTAGAAGGCCAAGGGTTACAATACCGCTAGGTCAAATGTCCTTTGGTCAAATTTAATAAACTTATAAACAACAATTAATTTCATCGTTTTATTGTAATTTTTACTAATCATCACATACGATAAACTTGAATTGCCATTAAAATAATATTTATTATTATATTTATAAGTTTATAATAAAGAGTTAAATTATGAGAACTGTTATCATATAACGTTTTTTTCATATGATTTTTTTTCATTTAAGACTTTGGTTTAATATATCGGTTAACATATATCTGTTTTAAAGTGTGTTTCACATGTATTTGTTTACAATGTGAAACTTTTTAGTCGTATTTTTTATTTTATAAATATATAAAAATGTTCATATTGCAAAACAAATATATGTTAATAAATACACTAGATCAAAGTCAGGCTAAAAAAAATCATGTAAAATATCATATGATGTACAATTTCTTTTGACTATCGCATGAAGGTCTGCTTTGTAATTATATAACATATACCTAATACATATATTATAATTGTAATCGTATATTTTAATATAGTAGATAATTATATAAATATATATCACAGATATAAACAAGGTGGAGGTCTAAACGAGAACATTTATGTTTTACGAGAATAAGGAAACATGTATGAGCCTCAAAATTATTTAACTCATAATTAAAATTAAAAAAAATAGACTAATTAATTAAGGATAATCATGCGATTTCGTATTTATCTAAAATTTTTGTGACAACCTTATCTCTAAAATCACATACAGACAATATATTACCCGAAATCACATAATCAACAAACAACAATAAATGTAGAAGCGATCAACACTGGTTTTCGATTATGGATAAATACTAATTAATTTTCATTTATTCTAATTTTTATTATATGTTAATTAATTTGGATGTGCATAAGTGTTTTTGTATCATAAAACATAAGTGTTTTCGTTTGAACCATTCTCTATAAAAAAAAATATATATATATATATATATCAGTTTTGTATATGTATAGTATTAAAATATAAAATAGTTGATATTAAAATTGTATATTTAAGAAATAATTTTGATGAAGCAGGTGAACCCAATTACCCAAATGCAACAAAAGTTGAAGCAAAACCTTTGCGTTGTCATAACGTAACTTCAAAGTGAGGGAAACTCCAGTATCGGCCCTTTAGATTATGATTATGTTCCATTGGGACCCTCGTATTATGCTCAATCACATTTTCACCTCTCAACCATTATTCACCACAATCCTCAAATTTATCCTTCCACGGGACCATCCACGTCACTTCTTTAAATTAAATATTTTTTAAATTAAAGTCATATAAAAACATTTTATTTTGCAAGTTTTAGAAATTTCACTTAAATTGTTCATTGTTTTGAGTACTTATTTAACTTAAATGTGTAATTATATTTAAAACTTTTAGGAGTTCTTTTTGAAGCATATAAAAAATATAAGGACGAAAACATGTCCAAGTATGAACTTCAAGGGGCTAATTGTAAAAATTTTCATTGTGAAACGTCTAACACGAAATGAAAACGTATTCAATCAATTAACATTCCTTTATTAATGGTTATCATTTATTCCAGAGTCAAAAACGATAAATCCAAATAAATTTACAAGTTTTAATTCGAGAAGTATAAGTTACTACAGCAGGTATTGTTTGGTTTCGAGACATATATGCTCTGAAAGTCACACCCTCTCTCCCCATTTCTGTCTGCAACAATGGACTCAAATTGACTCAAATTTGTTCCATCTCTCTCTCTCTCTCTCTCTCTCTCTCAGTCGTATTTGTCTCCTTTCTCACCAAATTTCAAAGCTCAAAGCTTTGATCAAACCAAACACTTCATTAATTTGTTTGAAGTTTTAACTATTGTTGCTTGTGTTCTTGTTCAAATGCGTGGATTAGCTTTGATTTTTTCAAAATTTTTGAATACCGAAGGTCGTTCCCGTTACCAATTTAGAAGCATTGCAGGTCGATTGTCAGATCTGGAGCTGTAAATTTCTCGGTACGTACTTGTTTGTGTTAGTGTACACTGTGGAATCGGAAAGTTAGGTTTTTGGCGCTGGAAAACTTTTAGGCGGGTGCTTGGTTGTTGTGAAAAATTGTGTGTTAGTGGGGTTATGCGTAAGGATTAGAAAATTTGTGGCGATGAATCGAAGTTTCCGGGCGCCGGAGAAGGAAATGGCGGGGACGACTGCGGTGAGGCAACGACAACACCAAATGATTGGGAATCTTAGGAACTCATCAATGAGAGAGAAAGAAGAGGAGCTAGGGTTATTTTTGGAGATGAGAAAACGAGAAAAAGAACGCCATGATCTTCTTCTTCAAAACGCAGAAGAGGAATTTGATTCATCTCTTGGTATTTCACTAATTTCATGATTCACAATTTTATTTCTTATGGATGTAGTATGCGATTATGCCCTTTTTCTTATCTTTTTCAGCAATGACTTTTACAATATATTATCCCAAATTAGAAAGAAAAAATCATACATTTTTACCTAATGAATTACGTAATCTTCGATGAGATTTGAGTTACCCTCCAAGTCGGCCATGTGCTAATGCCCTACATACATGCCTCTTGCATATGTAATTATGATTTTATACTGATTTATTGCTTTATATTTCTAAATTGTAATGTGATTATCATATTTTGATGGTGCAGGATCAAGAACAGGAAGTTCTCCCATATTCAGTATGCCTTCAGCACCCACTGTACGAAAGACCGGTGCTGATGAATTTCTCAACTCTGAAAATGATAAGAATGATTATGATTGGTAATTTTGTCTTATGCTTTTTTCTGTGATCAACTTTTTGTTCTTTCAGTATTATTCTGTGGGGAAAAATATAGATTGTTCTTCTATATTATTGTTTACACTTGAGGAAGAATATATGTTCTGAAAGTGTGCATTTACAGAATAAAGTATCACAGCAGTTGATGTCAGTCTCAAGTGACTTTAAGAATACTAACAGATACGAGCTTAAGCATTTGTATGATAGACGGAATATTAAACCATACATGCACTAAAACATCCAAATTTTGTGGAGATCGCCTTTATGCATCCGACAATCCTATATCTCAAGTATAAAACGCTGCAGGGTTAACCTTGAGGACCAGCTCAGCTGACAAATAAAGGTTAGTCCTTGGCGCTCCTCCCCATAGGTCACTAGGGCCATTTGGGATTTTCCTTGCTGTTATCTTGAGGGCTGTATGGGCTTAGCCGAGGTGCGCTCAAGTGGACTGGACAACTACGTTTACCAACAAAAGAGAAACTCTGCAGGATCATGAAATGTTTTTGCATTTGTTACTTTTTTATTATGTTGATATATAGGGGTTAGTTGCTACTTTACTGGAACAACCTCTCTACCCTTCATATATTATAGAGGTAAGGTTTGTGTACATCTTACCCTCCCCAGACCCTACTCCATATGGGACTTACTGGGTTTGGTTTGGGTTTGTGCTTGATTTTTTTTTGGTTACACAAAGTGATAGTGAGTGGCATTTTCTTTTGTTAACGAGCACATATGTTTTTGAGCTAATTTTTAGTAAACCTTCTTATGTTTTCAGGCTTTTAACCCCTCCTGGTACTCCTCTTTTTCCGTCACTGGAAATGGATTCACAGAAAACCGTCATGAACCAGAATGGAACCACTAAAGCTCATCCGAATGCACTAAAATCTAGAGTAAGAGCAATAAAGAACTTCTATTATGTTTCAATGATGTCAGTTTGCTTTAAACATTGACTGGTGATATTTTGACTGCATATCTTGTCTTAATCGAACACCACCAAATAGTAATGGGGATCTCTCGAGTCCCCAACCTCCAAGTGGTTTTGTATCTACAAGGGACTTAACCCCAGCTATTATAGAATCTTTCTATAGGTAGTTATGTATTGGATCAGAAGTGAACTGATTACAAGAAAGCTATAGGCATATTGTGGAAGAAAGCTTGCATTTTTCCTGCTTTTTGGCTAGAAAACCTGTGGACTAATGATGTTGTTTACTTGGTTACTAATTTTATAGCTATCAAATAACCAATCAGAGGCTACTGGTAGGAACATGGTATCGAGACAGCGAGCATCATCTCCTGGACCAAGTGTGGGACTCCGTAGACCATCCTCTTCAGGTGGTCCAGGTTCAAGGCCTTCTACCCCAACCGGTAGGCCGGCGTCAAGCACATCATCCAGACCTATATCGAACCCAGTTTCCAAAAGCACCACGATGTCAAAATCAACTTCAACTACAACCTCTAGGCCTTCAAGATCTTCAACACCCACTTCTCGTCCTATCTTGTCTTCGTCTAAACCAACAGTCCCAGCTAGATCTTCTACTCCTACAAGGTCTACTGCAAGATCTTCGACTCCAACAAGCAGACCTTCTCTATCTACAAGCAAACCTGCATCTAGGGCATCGACACCAACCCGCAGGCCAGCCACACTGTCCACCGTGACGAAAACATCTGCACCTCCAGTTAAAAGTCCTACCTTTTCAACTTCAGCATCAAATACAACCAGAAACGCAGCTCAACCTTCTGCTGGTTCTCCCAGTGCAAGACCAAGACCATGGAAACCTCAGGAGATGCCTGGTTATACCCTCGATGCACCGCCAAATTTACGAACCTCACTTACTGATAGACCCATTTTGTCCATGAGGGGAAGGGCTGGAGCACCGAGTAGTCGTTCGTCATCTATCGAGCCTGTACCCAACGGAAGGGTAAGAAGGCAATCCTGTTCACCTTCGAGAGGACGGCTTCCTAATGGTGTAAGTCGTAAGAGCGGAACCTCTGTACCTGTTCCTTCATTGAACCGTGCGTATGCTAAAGCGAATGACAACGTGAGCCCGGGATCTTACGGGACGAAGATGGTTGAAAGGGTGATAAATATGCGCAAATTGGTGCCACCAATGCAAGATGACAAACAATCGCCACGTAGTAACTTATCTGGGAAGTCGTCATCACCTGATAGCTCGGGTTTCGGTAGATCACTCTCAAAGAAATCTTTAGATATGGCAATGAGGCATATGGTAATTTTTTTCCACTCAGATCTTGCATACATGATTTACATGTCTTTTTGAGCTTATTGAAAAAGCCATATTTGGTTAACCATAAGCTAGTTTTTGAAAATAACGCCACTTGAAATAGCGTTTCATAGGTTTTTGAGCTTATCGCTAGTTTTTACCAAAATGACTAGTTTATTAGCCATCTTTTCAGCTAACTGCTAAGCTTATCTGCCAGCATCTAGCTTAGCAGCTAGTTTTTGCCTAACATAGCCTTAATCCAGATCTGGATAATGAAATTGACCTATTTCTGTTACGTAGGAGAGATTGGAAAAGTCTCTCTTTCACACTATTAATCTCGGGTTTACTTTTGTGGAGCAGGATATAAGGCGCACAGTACCGAGTAATTTGAGGCCATTAATGACGAAAATTCCAGCGTCGTCCATGTACAGTGTGAGACCTGGGCCCACACGAAACCGAATGATCAGTGTTTCGGATTCCCCTCTAGCAACAAGCAGCAATGCAAGCTCTGAAATGAGTGTGAATAACAATCAGGATGAAAACATAGAGGAAGAAAGTAACAGCGAAAGGGGCGTTCGTTCGCCTGCTAGCATCCGTGGCAGGTGATGGTTTTATCCGATTTACTTATCTGTATGTGAATGACTCCACCCTCGTAACATATGAATGACAAAAACTGGTATCAATTTTATTCCCCTGTTTCGATTGGCTAACACAACTCTTATCTATCGTCCTGTAATCTCTAAGATGGATACATTTGAAGCTCCATCGGCTAATATTTGTTGAACCCCAGATGGTCGATGGCCAAGTTAACCGATTTATATTCATCAATCATTGGTATACGGTGTTGATGAATGATTGGGGAAAATCCAATATTAATATTATTGTTGGTGAGCAATTATTAATGGAAGGAAGGGGGACCCATGTAATTAAATCCTATAATAATATGTGAAAAGCTTTGATGGATTCTGATCACATGGGTGACGACGATCTAATTTGACTAAAGGACCCCTTGCCATGCGCCCTCTTTTTTATCCTGCTTCGAAAGGGACAATACATTGATTTAATATGCCACTGTTACATGCATTAATTTCAGATATTTCCAATTGATGTAATAAAATGGTTCAAATAACATTCATTGTTGGCTCAATTATTGTTTTGAAATTATAAAGCGTCAGAAATTTATAAGCCAAGGTATTATTATTATTATTATTTTCAATTTAATATCTTGAGATATGATTTTGGTAAATATGAAATCTTTATATAAATTCATATATATATAACTACCTTTATTTATCCATTTTTATTATCATTATCAAAATTTTAACAAATTCGTATATGTAAAAGTGAGTAAATGTATATAAAAGTTCATGAAAGTAACTTAAAAGTGCACATATATTTGAAGATGAATGTAGTTGAAGGTAATTAAGTGCACTAAAATTTATTGAAAAAAATTAAACTTATCTAAAGGCTCATAAATATTCTCATCATTCTCATTAACTCTTACACGATCTTGTGTTTTAAATTTGATGTGTAACTGTTTATTTACATAATTTTTTGGTTTTAAAAAATGAAATGTATTTCAAGTTATTATAAAAGGTGTATTCATCAATGGTGAATTATTTTTTATTAAAAAAATCATTTTGATGTGAGAAAATTATTATGCTAAAATGATAGATGTCTTGTTTGGATTAGATCCGGGCTATCGGTTTTGAAACTTGAAATGGGTCATTATATAAAGCCAACAACGTTTCTTCGTAAAACTACATATGGTGGGTAGACAAGATGGGACATGACAAGACAAAAAAAATTAGTACCATATTTGGCATGACATGGGATAAAGACAACATCGAACAAGATGGGACTAAAACTAATTTTCATGTGATAAAATTAGAGTTTTTTTTTTCCACCAAAAGAGGTGGAACAACCTTGAACTAATCTTTTTCCTTTCTGTAAGGACCAAGAGATTGAATCTAGAAGGCCGGGGATTTAAAAAAACCTCGCGAATTAACCAAGTTAAAATTACTTACTTACCCTATAAATAATATAAAATCTAAAAAAAAAACTCTTCCAAAATCCGAAGCCTAAAACTCTCCCCACTCTCAAATCTAACTCTCAAATCTGAAACCTAAAATTTCCCAAAATTCCAAATCTGAAATCTTAAATCTAAAACTCGTTCAAATCAAACTCTCAAGTCAAATTCTTTCTGATCTACTTTTGAGAGCGAACTCTCAGGTCGAACTCCTACTGATCCATGTTTGAAATCGAACTCTCAGGTCGAACCCTCTCAAATTGAACCTCTTCGTCTCTCAACATCCAGATCTATGTTTGAAGATCGAGGAGTAGGAGATGGGTGGTGGTGGAAGAAGAACCTCGAAGTAAAACAACAAGAACTTGAACAAAGATATATTAATGATGAAAACAAATGTATTGATGGTGGCTGCTTGAAAAGGACGAAGATAACTGGGTTTTTTTTTAATGGTCAGGTCTTTTTTTTGGGGGGGGGGGGAGGGGGTTGTTTAATTTATTTATTGATTTATGTAAGTTATTCCAAGTTTTTATGAATAAATTTATTTAAATATTTAATTGATTTACGTTATTTATAATTATCATATAATACAAAAATATTAAACAAGAATAATCTGGTCATTTAGTCCAGCGGCCTACCAAAAGAAAACAGTTTCGACAACCCAATATAAGACGACCGTATTGAGAGTGAGAGCCAAGGTAATCAAGTCAAACACACATGTCTTCTTCCTTTGATGCCTCTCTCGCCGCTCCGGTTAACCCTGCCGGTGATGATTCCGTAGTTCAAGACTCTTCGATTTTGGGTACCGAAGAGGCCCAAGTATCTGATTATGACGGATCGGTTTTACCTCCACTGTCGGAGATGCAGCCTGAGGAGGGTTTTGCTCTTAGAGAGTGGAGAAGGTCGGTGTTTTCATCTATTTTATTAATTGTTCTTTAATATTCTTTAATTACAATTTACAAGAGATTATCGATTATTTTGTCTCTGTTAATTATTGTTATTACGAGTCCATACTCATTTTATCAAATATGTATGCCTTGATCGTTAATTTGATGAACTTGAGTTTTAATCAGGATAATCGATTAATGATATGATTCTGTAGTATTCTTCAGAGAATCAGATGACATCTGACTGTGATTGCATCGTATATCGATTTTGATTGTCTAAAGGGTTTTGTACTTTTTGCAACAAAAAAACTGTTATTGGATAATATTAATCGCTGAAGGATATCAGTGGCTATTTAGTGTTCACAATTTGTATATGATCAAATGCCTAAATTGGAATGGCAATTTGATATAGCTATATGGTATGAATTTTTAATTGGAACCATAACATGTTTTGATTACAAAGTAGCTTGATGTTCTTGGTATCCATGTTGTTGACAAATATTTGGTTTATTCTTTTGTGGGTTCAATTACCACAACTGTAATATGAATATTCAGTCATTCTTTGTGTTATTCTCATGATAGACAAAATGCATTGCGTTTAGAAGAGAAGGAGAGGATAGAGAAAGAGTTGTTAAACCAAATCCTTGATGAAGCTGATGAGTATAAGGTCAATTTCCACAGCAAGAGGAAGATAACCTGTGACAGTAACATAGCAACTAATCGGGAAAGCGAAAAGGTAAGCATGGAAGTAAATTTGATGATTTTGCATTTAACTGATTACGTTCAGGTTATGAGTACAATCAGCCATATACTACTAGTTGGCTTTTGTTTTTGCGTTATATATACTTATATTTACTTACTTCACTTATGAGTGCCCTGCTCGTCTGCTTTCCACGTTGATTATCCCTCTACTTTTCCAAATGTCGTATCTTTACAAGAGGTAAAGAACACTCGGGCTATGTTTGGCGAACTAGTTTATAAGCTAGCAGTTGGATGATAAGCTAGTTGGATGATAAAAAGCTAGCTGTTCGTTGATGAACTAGTCATGTTTGGCAAAAGCGAACTGATAATCTAGATGACAATGTAAAATGACCTAAAAGGACATATTGAAAAATTAATTTGAAAACTAGAAGGGGTGTAGGAAAAAGTGGAAAAACTCCTGGAGTCAGTAGAGTTTTAAAAACCTAACTTATAAGTCTGCTTATGATCAACCAAAGAGGACTTTTTCGATAAGCTCAAAAATTAAGTTAGCTTATTGTTGCAAGCCTGGCGTTAATAGAGGTGTCATTTTAGCATGCACCTATGATATTGGTACCTGCTGTGCGACCTCTCTTTTGATGTTGTATGGCGGTCTCATAATGGCTGAAATAAATTTCAAGCATTTGCCTTTTGTAGAATATTTGTGTAATGAATCATATGATGCAATAGTATAGCATTTTTTTTCTTTCACAAATGTATATAATCAAATGACTTGCATTCTGGATTTCGACTAGTCAACCAAGTTTAAGAGGGGCTTTTAAGCCAAAATGGGCACCCCCACATGTCATTCACCTCTCTTTTCAACCAACCCTGTCATTTTTATGCACACAAAGTATTTGCTCGTCGGCAAGAGAAACATTTTCTCATTTGGCACTTCAAAACTCTCTTGATTCTTTGCATCTGAGTTCATTGGCCTACAGAACATGTACAATTCAGAATTAGAACGATGGGTAGTCTCTTTTATAACTTATTTGTGACGTGGTAGGTATATTTGGCTGGGCGGGACAGGTTCCATGCAGAAGCTAACCAGAGTTACTGGAAGGCAATTGCAGACCTCGTTCCCAAAGAAGTGGCGGTTATAGAGACTAGAGGGGCGAAGAAGGACCAGGACAAGAAACCTTCTGTTGTCATGATCCAAGGTCCCAAGCCTGGAAAGCCAACTGATTTATCGAGGATGAGGCAGATCCTCATAAAACTCAAGCACGACACCCCTCTTCACCTCAAACATTCCCCACCTCCACCTGCCGCCAAGGATGCCCCATCTGCCGCTCCTGATGCAGCTGTTACCACAGCGGAGGCTGTTGCTGTTGCCTAGTTTTTAATGTTGTTTTGTTCACCTCTTGTTTATGTCGATATACATTTAGCTGAGGGGGATAACTGGAGTTTCAGATGTTTGATGTAACTATGATTTGTGGTTTTTCTTTGAATATTTTGGTACTAGAATCTTATCTGTATATGGATATTGCAGCAAACTTTAGTTTTCAATATTATTCAATTAGAATATTGCGCAAAACGTGCATTTACATATCCTAATTATTGGTATGGATGCCATTGATGTGATGCAACTCATGGACGATCTTGCTTGCATCCGTTCTTTGTTTCGGAGATTCCATGGAGCATGCCAACCCAATTCTAGCCAATGAAATCATGCCCTCTTCCGATCTCTTCCACCTTCTTGCTTCATCCTCACCAGAACGATGGTTGACATTTGCAGCTTCCATCTCGTCCTCCAGGTCATGCAGTAGTGTCGGTTCAACGATTTCCATGACCTGATCAGGCAACGCCATCATCACATAGCCATAGAGGTTCAACCCTTCTACAAAAACCAGGTCTGTAGGTCTCTTTCCTGTTATCGTTTCTAGCAACAATATCCCAAAACTGTAGATATCCCCTTCTTTTGTCATCTCGCTTCCAAGACCATACTCCGCTAACAAAAAACACAAAATATGGGTTTTTGAAAAGACAGATTGTAATGGGTTCAAAATTTTCGGGTGTGAAGTCCGGTTTATCAATTACCTGGAGCTGCATACCAAATAGTTCCTCTTATTCCAACAGAACTGCTTTGGTGAGGTTTTAATGGGAGAAATTGCCAATGTGAGCAACCATGTCGTTGTCAAGTAAGATGTTGCTTGGCTTCATACGAACTTTTGCACCCAACGACCTTGCTCCCCCTTGTCGTCCGCTCTTTTATCACCACTCATCACCATCATTGTCCCTTGCAATTCATTTCCTTTTTTGATCGGATTTTTTTCTTTCTCTTTTTCATCTGTTTATACGTACTCCATTAAATTCATTTAAAAGAAGGAGAATCAAAAAACAAAAAAAGTCAAAAAGAGGGAGATCGATAACAAGGTCAACGGACGCGATAGACCGTACAGAGAATACACGTCGGTGGGATGGTGATGGGTAACGAGGGTCGATGTTAGGTGTGAGGGGTTTATATTGCTTAGCGTTTAGGAAAGGTAAAACTCATTTACATTTTTTTTTATTTTAAAACCTTCATTTACAATTACAAATTTTTTTTTCTGGATTAAAATGATGTATGTAACCGATTTTCAAAAGTTTGATTATTTATTTTCTCAAAAACAATAATAAAAAACTTAATCATTTAAAATAAAAGTTCAATATTTTTCATTCAAAAAAAAGTTTAGGAAATTAATTAGAACTGTTTATTCTCGAAATTTTTTCTTCTTTTACTCATAAATTATACATATTTATTAGTTCCTACTTACAAATTTCTTCTTTATATACATCAACATTAATACATATTTTTTTATATTTCTAATGTATGAAATAACGTGATTATGATATGGAGAAGGAATTACTCCAACCTTTTTGTTGCATAGTTATTTATTGCGTTGCGTGGTGTGTTGATTTACGGAATCTGCTTTCACACTATAATGGGCCTGGTTCATGAATTTAGTCAACTTTTGACTTTAGGCCGTAAAATGTGGGGCTCATTTGACTTTTGACCTCCAAGAACTCTATAACGACTGGAGTGGAAACTAAGAATAATGCCTTCCAAATCATAAAAAATAATAACATACAAGTTTATGAATGGTTTGAGCTTGGTTCTAAAAATCAAAAATATCAAGAGATTTTAAGTTCAAATTCAATGAGAAATAAAAATTTCTTATGGCTATAGAGGTTCAAATACGGTGACTCTAGGCAACCTACAAAGCAGGTGGTCGTCCTGAAATTAATCGGCTCGTATAGCGGGTTGGATATTCAGGTTAATAAAAAAAAAATAATAAATAATATTAATGATTAAAAGATTTTAGAAATTATGTATTTATTTATTTATAGCAATGAACAACATAGCAAGTGGCCACATACACTCGATAACAATGAGTAGTTCAATTTTGCTTCTCTCCTTTTTATTGCTCTTCATCTCTTTGGCTGCTTCTACTTCCAATCATACTCATAGATGCTCTTCTACACAGAGTCGTGCTTTGTTTTCATTTAAACAAACTGTTTTCTCTATTACCGACTTATACAATTACAACGACGGTGAATGTCGTGCTTGGCTTGGTTCCCGATATTATCCGATCATGATGAATTGGAGCACGAGTATTGACTGTTGCGATTGGGATGGTGTCATTTGCAACCACTTCACTGGTGATGTGATTGCTCTCGACCTTAGTTGTGCCATGCTACGAGGTACCATCCACCCTAACTCCACCCTTTTCAACCTTCCTCGCCTTCAAAGACTCAACCTTGCTTTCAATGATTTCACCGATTCCCAACTTCCACGTGAAATTGGCAGGTTTGTTGATAGTCTTACGCATCTCAACATCTCTCAATGTGGGTTTACAGGTCAAGTTCCTTCGGATATCTCACTTCTTCGTAAATTGGTGTCTCTTGATCTCTCTTCGAATGGGGTCTCTTTGCAACTCAAACCTCGTGTTTTGAACAATCTCCTTCGAAATTCTACTCTTTTGAGAGACCTTTCGCTTGCGGATGTTAATATAGGTTTGGTTTTACCCACTTATCTTGACATACCTCCCTCTTTGAAATTACTTAACCTTAGTTTCACTGGTTTGCAAGGGAAATTACCTGATAACATCTTCAATCTTCGATATTTGGAAAAACTTGACTTGTCATACAACAATGACCTTGATAGTCGATTGCCCGAAGTTAACACGAGCACTAGCGTCGCTCTCGAGTGGTTATCTCTCTCGTCCACGAATTTATCGGGAGAGATACCTTACTCAATTGGTCATCTCAAGTATTTAAATTACTTGGATCTCTCACTGAACAAAGGTTTATCAGGAGAGATACCCTACTCGATTGGTCATCTCGAGTCTTTGAATACCTTACGTCTTGATTACTGTGGTTTGGCGGGTTCCCTACCAAAATCCATTGTTAACCTTAGGCACCTTACTACTCTAGATCTATCATCTAACATGCTTAACGGGAGCTTACCATCGGGTTTCTTTGCCTTACGATCATTAAAGCTGTTATCCCTCACACAAAATCAGTTTGTTGGCAAGATTGATGTGCTTGATCAAGATTCCAGTTCACAATCATTTCGGCAACTCGTCAACCTCACTCACCTTGACCTTTCGTTTAATAGTTTTAGAGGTGTGTGGGAGTTGGATGCATTGTTATCAAGCCTCACAACCCTGGTAGAACTCCGTCTCTCACAGAGTGGTTTATCTGTTGTCACCAATAACGCCAATCGCTATGTGAATCCTGATTTTCAGTTCTTACATTTGGCATCTTGCAAGCTAAAGGTGTTCCCAGAATCCTTAAGAGCCATGAAAAAACTTCAAAGTTTAGATCTATCTAGCAACGAAATCCATGGCCACATTCCTGATTGGGCAACGGAGATAGGAGGAAAGGGTATGTTCCATTTGGATCTCTCACATAACTTCATAACAGGCTTGCCGCGATTCCAATGGGATGGACTAACAGAATTGCATTTGGAGTCCAACAGGATTGAAGGACCATTCCCTCCTTCAATTTGCAACCTGAGCAATATATGGTATTTGAATATCTCTGATAATCTGTTTGGTGGAGTGATTCCACAATGCATTCAAAATATCCACTCGTCTCTTTGGATCGCAGATCTGGGGAACAATTTATTTCATGGTAGCATTCCAAATGCATACAAGGATTGTGGACAGTTACAGGGGCTTATTCTGAATGGAAATCACTTAGAAGGAGAGGTGCCCAGTTCTTTATCTAACTGTCAATATTTGGAAGTGCTTAATCTAGGAAACAACCTCTTAAATGGCACATTCCCTAGCTGGTTGGGAGATCTTCCATTTTTGCAAGTTCTTGTCCTAAAATCCAACAAATTGCATGGTCCCATCAAAACCTCTTCTGCAGGGAAAGCCCCATTTCCATGTCTGCAGGTCCTCGACTTATCTAATAATGGGTTTGTAGGTGATCTCCCTCGACAGTATTTTCAAAATTTCAATGCTATGAAAAATGTGGTGAAGAATGGCACAAGATCAACATATTTGAACACGGGTGGTATGTATTACTCGATCGTTGTTGCTGTGAAAGGAGTGGAGCAGAATTTTCCAAAGATTTACGTTGACTACACGATTATCGATCTCTCGAGCAACAAATTTGAAAGCAAGATTCCTGACATCATTGGTAATCTTAGTTCGTTGATAGTGCTCAACTTATCCCACAATAGCCTCACAGGTCGAATCCCAAATGCCCTAGGGAATCTCTCGGAGATTGAATCGTTAGACCTATCTCGGAACCAACTCACAGGAGAGATCCCTCAAAGCCTTGCAGCCTTGACATTTCTTGGATTCTTGAATCTCTCTCAAAACCGTCTTATGGGGCGTATTCCAGAAGGAAAACAGTTCAACACGTTTGAAGGAAACTCGTTTGGAGGTAACCCTCAACTCTGTGGGCTTCCGTTGCCGGAGAAATGCGAGCGTCCACACGAACCACAACTTGAAACCGATGGAGACACGGAGAGTGAATTTACATGGAGAGCGGTGATGTTGGGATGTGGTTGTGGGACAATACTTGGATTGGTGATGGGATATGTGATGTTGTGTTAAAAGATGTTTCTAAACTAACAATCTTTACTTTTGAATATTGTGTATCAGAATAAAAAGTGAAGGATCAATGCTGCAAAAGTGCTAAAGATTGCTAAAAGGTGGAAGGGGTGCGCCTCACTATTGGGACATTTACAAGGGTAGCGGAGCAATTATCATAAAGCTGAAGGACTGGTTCTGCAATTATGAAGTTTATATATAAAGTGAATGAAACGTCCTTTGTCATGATCAGATTCATTTTTTTTCCTACAAGAAATATTCTCTCTATTTTTTTAGTTTACGATTCAGTTTCTTTTGTTTTGTTAATCATACATTGTTAATCACTTTGATTAACCAGTAGTCTAGATCTGTTTGTATATCTTTTGTATATGTTCTTTTATATCTTGAATAAATAGTTTGATTCATACATTTGTTCATGGTATCAGAGCCAACATCTCAGATCTGGTTGCGTAAGGTGTACACGACGATTGCTTCCTCTGTTCGTGATTAACTGTGTGTGGATTATCAGGTAAGTGCTTCTTCATTATCTGTTCTTTTCGTGTTTCCTTGAAGTAGATGATTATCTCGTGTCGTGACCACACAGATCTATCAGATCTCGTTAGCGCCGACTTATAGATATAATACTCAAGGTTCTTATGTTTTTTGTTGAATCGTTTGCAATGTTTCTTGTCTATCATTGCCGCACATGAACAGATCTGCTATGGATTGCGAGAATCTGGTATAGATCTCGATCGACCACACGATTTGTGATGCGAAATATTTGTATAATCTTGTTGGTATCTCCTTGTAGCTGTCAATCTGTTGCTCCTTGGTTTGTTTTTTAATATGAACAGATCTGTTGTGATGAGTAACGGTTCTTTCCTTTTAAGATCTCGTTCTTTCACCTTCTGTGATATTTTTCATTTAGCCATATATTTTGCGAATCTGAGTTATTTCTTGATGAATATATGAGCTTTATTGTTTTCCTTTTATGGTCTGTTGTGATGACCAATGGCTGTTTTTAAGATCTTGTTCTTTATATACTCAGATCTGATATATTACAAATGTACGAAGCTTATAAACAGATCCATTGAGATACATATTCTGTTTAGATCATACTCATGTGTTGTTGCCCTATATGAAAATAGACTGTTAAAAGTAGATGCTCAGTTTTAAGGTTGAATCAATTTCTAAAATATCGAATCTCGTCCTAAACTGTGATACTCTCTGTTTTGGTCTATTGACTTTATGTTTTCCCTAATTCTCTGTGGTGAGTGCATTATTATTTTTTCTCTCAGATCTGCAAATATCTTCGATCTGGTTAGGTCTGGTTTGCCTAGCACTGTGTTGTTGCTGGTTCCTTTTGGTTCCAATGTATGTTTGTTCAGGTTATCCTGGTGCGTTTATTTTAACCTAGGTTAAAATTTTGTTGCTGCTTCAGGTCTGTTTCTTCTCTTCCCTTGTATCTGTGCTCTTTGTGTGTTATCTGTTTCTTTTTCTTTCGTTTTTTTGTTTAAGGATCTAGACAGTTAGCTTGACCTAGCACTCCAAGTGTTTTAGGAATCCTGCTTTTATCTGTTCTAGTTTCCTTTGTGTGTTTTTTTTGTTTTCTTTTTCTTTTTTTTCATGTCTGGTTCCGAGGTTGTCACTGCTAGATCAATGGAATCCAAAATCGCTAGTCTTGATTTTGGACATCCACTGTATCTTCATCCCAGTGATACAAGCGGAACACCCTTGATAAATGTTAAGTTGTGTGGTACCGAAAATTACAAGGTTTGGGCATGTGCTATAATTTTGGCCTTAGACATGAAAAATAAAACTGGTTTTATTGACGGATCCTGTCCTAGACCTATCAATGATCCCATTCTTGAAAGACAATGGGATCGATGTAACTCAGTGGTCCTTTCATGGATTCTGAGTTCTATGACGGAAGACCTGTTTCTAGGACAGGTCTTCTCCAAAGAATCCTCCAAAGTCTGGGAGGAGCTCAAAGAGACTTATGACAAAATTGATGGATCTGTCATGTATAATCTGTATCAGAAAATTAATTCTTTGAGTCAAAACGGATCGTCTGTTTCCGAATACTATCATAGACTAAACTCCTTGTGGAAACAATTTGACGCCCTAGTTAAACTGCCTTCATGCACTTGCAATGCCTCACAAGAGTTCTTTGAACACACACAACTGGTTAAGCTCATGCAGTTTCTTATGGGTCTTGATGATCTATATCAACCCATAAGAAGCAATATTCTCACTAGAGATCCCCTTCCGTCGGTCAAAACTGCTTTTTCTCTGGTCTCTCGTGAAGAGTCTCATCGTAGCGGTAATGTATCTCAACCTCGACCTAAATCTCAAAACACTGCTTTTTTAAGTAAATCTACTGAAAATAAAAGACGTTTTGGGAGAAATACTGTTCTTAATTGTAAACACTGTGGCATGACGGGACACACCATTGAAAGGTGTTTTAAACTGATTGGTTTTCCAAATAATTCCCAAAATCGACCCAGATCTCAAAACTCCTCTTTCAAAAATACTGTCAGTAATAATAATGCCAGTGTCCCTGATACTACTCACTCTAAAATTACTCAATCTGTCACCCCTTTTCCCTTTTCGGAAGAACAGATAACTAAACTTTTGGGGCTTATTGAACAAAAACAACCATATGAAGAAGCATCTGCTAATATGGCAGGTACTAACATTCAATCTGGTTGGATAATTGATTCTGGAGCGAATCAACACATGACCCACAATTCCAGTTTTCTTAAAAACACTGTTGACATCTCTGAGCTTGATCTCAGAGTTTGTCATCCTAATGGCACTAAAGCCAAAATAAATAAAATTGGTGATTTCAAATTAACAAATAATGTCATTTTATTTGATGTGTTGGTAGTTCCAGAATTCAATGTTAACTTGTTGTCTGTTCATAAACTAACTAAGGATAATAATGTCTTTGTTGGTTTTGACAAATCTAAATGTTACATCCAGGATTCACTACGAAAGAACGTAGTGGGGACTGGTAGCCAGGAGGGGGGACTCTATTACTTTGACCAAAACTTTAAGAGTAAGTTTTCTTGTACCACTACTGTTTCCAACATGTCTTCTTTGCCTTCTGCCCAATTATGGCATTCTCGCCTAGGGCACCCTGCTAGTCAAGTTTTAAAATTACTAAAAAATGAGCTTAAAATTGATAATGACAGTTGTGGTCCTTGTGAGATTTGCCATAAGGCAAAACAAACTAGGGAAAGGTTTGAATCCAGTATTCGTAAAACAAAAAGTCTTGGTGACTTAGTTCATCTTGATGTATGGGGTCCTTACCATGTCCAGACTAAAGAAGGTTTTAAATATTTTTTAACTGTTGTTGACGATTACACTCGGGCTGTCTGGGTTTTTTTGTTAAAAGGCAAATATGAAGTTGAAGAAAATATTATCACTTTTTACAATCTCCTTAGTACTCAATTTGAAAAATCTGTTAAAATATTTAGAACTGATAATGGTTCTGAATTTACTAGTAAAAGATTAAGTGATTTTTTCAAAACCAAAGGGATTTTACACCAGACTTCTTGTGTCTATACTCCCCAACAAAATGGGGTAGTTGAAAGAAAACATCGTCACCTTCTAAATGTTGCCAGGGCCCTCTTGTTTCAGGGAGGAGTTCCTCTTAACATGTGGAGTGAATGCATTCTCACTGCCACATATTTAATTAATAGAACTCCCTCTTCTGTCCTTAACGGTAAGTGCCCCTATGATCTTGTCTATGGGTTTCCTCCTGTTCTTTCTCATCTTAAATGTTTTGGATGTTTGTGTTTTGCCAGCATACCTAATGTGACTGATAAATTCTCTGCTAAATCTGTTGAACCAAAGAATTTTCATGAAGCTTGTAATGATATTAATTGGATTGAAGCTATGAATAATGAAATGGAAGCCTTGCATAGGAATGGTACTTGGATTGTTACATCTTTACCTCCGGGTAGAAAACCAATTGGTTGTAAGTGGATTTATAAGATCAAGTACAAATCCACTGGTGAAATTGAAAGATACAARGCCAGGCTTGTAGCTAAAGGCTACAGTCAAAGGGAAGGCCTTGATTATGAAGAAACTTTTTCACCTGTGGTGAAAATGGTAACTGTTAGATGTATCATTTCTTTAGCTGTACAAAATGGTTGGAGTCTGTTTCAATTAGATGTAAATAATGCTTTTTTATATGGTGATCTAAATGAGGAAGTTTATATGACTCTTCCTGAGGGCTATTATGATAATAAGGATAAACAGGTTTGTAAACTGGTTAAATCACTGTATGGGTTAAAACAGGCTCCACGCCAATGGTATGCAAAGTTATCTTCCTGCTTACTAGAAAATGGCTTTATTCAAAGCATAAATGATTATTCCTTGTTCACAAAAGTTGTTGATTCTGTTTTTGTTATTCTTTTGGTTTATGTAGACGACATTGTAGTTACTGGAAATTGTGTTTCTGAAATTGATAAAGTAAAGAATTTCCTAAAAGGTAAATTTTTAATAAAGGATTTAGGAAAGTTAAAGTTTTTTCTGGGAATTGAAATCTTAGAATATGAAAGTGGTATTTGCATGTCACAAAGGAAATATTGTTTAGAACTTCTTAATGATTTTGGTTACTTAGGTTCTAAACCTTGTAATACTCCCATGGATATGAATATGATTGTTACAGATTCTTCAAATGCAGAAGATCCTCCTTTGACTGATCACACTGGTTTCCAAAGATTAATTGGAAGATTGATATATTTGCTAGCTACTAGGCCAGATATCTCTTTTGCTGTTCATTGTTTAAGCCAGTTCATGCACTCACCTAGGCAATCACATTTAAAACTTGCTTTAAGAGTTCTTAGATATTTAAAACTATCTCCAGGTAAGGGAGTTAGTTTTACAAGGTCTAACTGTTTTTGCTTAACAGCTTACGTTGATGCAGACTGGGGTAAGTGTTTGTCTTCCAGACGCTCGGTAACAGGTTTCTGCTTATTTTTGGGTAATTCTATGATTTCGTGGAAGAGTAA